GGCTGCTGGGAGCAGGGGGTGGGGCTTGTTGCATGTTCCTGCCCCCTGGGCTCTTTACTGCCAGAGCTCTGCTCCTGTGCGCTCCTGCTTAAAAGTAAGGGTGTGCTATTGCCCACCTGTGAGGCTGATCTTGAGATGGAGAAGGAAATAAGGGAGGCGACTAAAACAGATACTGTTGTTATACTGGGAGACTTCAACTACCCTCACATTGACTGGGTAAACATGTGCTCAAGTTATGCTGTAGACATGAGATTCCTAGATATCACAAATGACCGTGCACCAGAACAGTTGGCCACAGAGCCAACCAGAGGGTCTTGGACTTGGTTCTGAGTGGGTCTCAAGACCTGGTGAGAGATGTAATATATGGAGTAGCCAAATTGCTCGCTCACAACCTTAATGCCAGTAGCTCACAAAGTAGAATTTTTGCTCACAAGACAGCTTAGAGGGAGCATTGGTCCTATATCAATTGTTTACTGCCTTACAGATGTAACAGGGGCTTTGTTGAATGTTGTAATCTGTACTATATGACCTCTGAAGAAGGCTCTTGTGGGCTGAAACATGTCAAGTCATATATGGTTACTTTTGCGCATTTGTTACTTTGATTACATTATGAGGCTTTATTTGGGCCCCTACAAGGCTTTACTCCTGCCAACCTAGCAGTTCGAAAGCAAGAAATTGCAAGTTGATAAATAGGTACCACTTCGGTGGGAAGGTAACAGCGTTCCATGCACCTTGGTGTTTAGTCATGCCGGCCACATGACCACGGAAACGTCTCCGGACAGCGCTGGCTCTTCGGCTTTGAAACGGAGATGAGCACCGCAACCCTAGAGTCGGACTCGACTGGCTTTCGAGCAAGGGAACTATTTATTTACCTTTACCTTTACAAGGCTTTAACTGTTTGTTTTTTTGCAAAAAACACGTGTACTTTTTCTATAATTATTGATGTTTTTAACTTTTGGCCCCTTACTAGTTATCTAAACTTCCTTTGGAGGTTTTGGCTCTTGCTTGGTTGGTTTAGTTTCTCTTCCCCTTTTTTCGTGGGGGCAATGGTTCAAAGACTCCATTCTCAGAGAAGGAAGCAATTGAGAAAACAACCAGAAGATTTGGATCCAGTCCTTCCCTGGAGTTTGCTTGGAACAGAAAATCCTTTTCTCCAGGTGAGGTCCATTCCCTCGCCAAACGCTACCTTCCCCAAATTCCACCTCCAAACCTCCAGAAATTTCCCAACCTGGAGTTGGCAACCCTCCCATCCCCTCGCCTCTCACCTTTACTGGCTCCATCAGGGCCTCGGAGGATGGTGCATTCCTCGATCTGGCCAAAGGGCTCGAAGAGTCTCCGGACGTCGTCCTCGCTCTGCTGCTTCCCCAGCATACCCACAAAGAGCTTCCTGTCTTCTAAAAGCAAACCACACCTTGTTAGCAAGGGAAAGACGCAGAGGAGGGGAGGGGCCGTGGCTCAGTGGCAGAGCACCTGCATGGTATGCAAAAAGTCCCCGGTTCAATCCCCGGTGTCTCCTGTTTAAAGGCCAGGGTCACAGGTGATGTGGAAGACCTCAGCCTGAGACCCTGGAGAGCCACTGCCAGTCTGAGTGGACAATACTGACGTTGACGGACCAAAGGTCTGATTCAGTAGAAGGCAGCTTCATATGTTGAACGTACCCATGACAAGCAAGGCAGGAGGGAATTACTGAGAGGAACGACCCAGGCCTGAATCTCTCTTTCAAATCGCTGGGGGAGCAGTGTTCCCTCTAAGCTGAGTTAGTGTGAGCTAGCTCACAGTCTTTTAGCCTCCGGCTCACACATTCTTGTCTTAGCTCTGGAAGGAGGGCTCCAGAGCAAACTGATGTATGCAGGAGCCAAATCGCTTGCTCACAACTTCAATGCCATTAGCTCAGAAAGCAGAATTTTTGCTCACAAGACTCCACGGCTTAGAGGGAGCTCTGCCGGGGAGGCATCTGGGGTTGATTGCCTGCCCTCAAATCCTCCCTTCCTAAGTACACTTAGTAGGAAGTAAGAGACAGTGCTGTGTAGTGGTTAGAGAGCTGGACTTGGTTCTGGGAGAACCAGGTTTGAATCCCCACTCATGTCATGAAAGCTCACTGGGCAACCTTGGGCCAATCACCCACTCTCAGACTAACCTACCTCACAAGGTAGTTGTGAGGGTAGGGATGCCATTCCACAGTTGGGTGTGGAAACTCGAGCTGCAGTGTTAGAAGAGTCAAACAACAAATATATACACTGCAAAAACCTTATTTATAAGTTAAAGTGTTCTATATGTTCCATCTTATAAAGTGCATTGTGTATTATTCATAATATTCTAAAACAGCCTTGAGAAAGACAGGAGCGCTCCATCTATGATTGTCAGCTGCTTAATGGGCCTTTTGTAGGACCAGCAACAAACATCAATTTAAACTTCAATGTAACCACAAAAGGAAACTTCCCCCCCTTAGAAGACTTTCAAGCAAGGAGAAGCGGGTGTACAATTCTAGAAACTCCCATTGGGGTTGATTGTGTAAAAAGGATGTAAATTGACTGGTAGCTATTAGATTGTACAAACTGATTATTATTGTTGATATTGCATGTAATGAATATATATACCTGTTTTAGATTTGTGTGACTTTAAAAAAACAAACCCAAAACTATCAGTCATGGTGACTGAAGGGAACCCTTCATATTCAAAGGCACTAAACTTCTGAATCCCAGAGCCAGGAGGCAACATCAGGGGAAGGCTTCAGCCTCTATGCCCTGTTGTTGGCCCTCCAGAGGAACTGTATGAGACAGGATGCTGGACTTGATGGACCACTGGTCTGACCCAGCAGGGCCCTTCTTATGTTCTTATCAGGAGAAGACCTCGGCCTCCATGCCCTGTTGTTGACCATCCAGTTGGCCACAGCGTGAGACAGAATTCTGGACTAGATGGACCACTGGCTCTTCTGATGTTCTTAACAATTGCATTTTAAAAAGCCTGTTAATGAATTTTGGCTTGGAAATATTGAACCCTTCCCCCCCTCCTAGTGACGCCAAACTTCTTCCTGTCAGGGATCTCTTAAAGACACAGGTTCCTTTTCTACTGCATGCACTGATGGATAGGACGGGTGTGTATTTGAGCTGTAAGAACACTGTCCTCTAGTGAGAGGATTCCTCCTCCTCTGAGCCCAGCTGAGGCAAGCTTTCTCATTCTTTGCCTGTCTATTGATTTCTAATCCCTCACCAATTACATTCTGTAAGTGGGTAATTTATTTCCCCAATCCCTTTGGGATATCCAGAGCTTCCGCTGGCACCAGCTGAGAGTCGTGTTTAATAACTACAACTCTCTCTCGCTGAATACACTGTTATTTACCCTCCTCGAGCAACAGAACCCTGGGAATAAAACATCACCGGGCTTTAAAGTACCGGTCCTCCTAGACCATCCTGGTTAGAGACAGGTGCCTTGGGGAGTGGGGAGGAAGTCTGTAGGAAATAACAAGTGTTTGCTCAGAATCGACCCGTTTTCTAGCTTTGATGTGGCAGGACCTTAAAGAGAGGAAGAAGAGCCCTGCTGGATCAGACCAGTGGTCCATCTAGACCAGCATCCTTTCTCACACAGTTCCTCTGGAGGTCCAACAGGGCAAAGAGGCCGAGGCCTTCCCCGATGTTGCCTCTTTGCCCTGGGATCAAGAGGTTGACTGCCCCTGGATGAGGAGCTTCCCTTTAGTCACCATGGCTAGTACCAATGATAGACCTCCCCTCCATGAACCTACACCAATTTGGTGTACTGGTTAAGTGCACGGACTCTAATCTGGGAGAACCGGGTTTGATTCCCCACTCCTCCACTTGCACCTGTCTGGATGACCTTGGGCAAGCTGTAGTTCTGGTAAGAGCTGTTCTTGTAAAGGAGCAGTTTCTGTCAGAGCTCTCTCAGCCCCACCTGCCTCACAGGGTGTCTGTTGTGGGGAGGGGAAGGGAAAGGAGTTTGTAAGCCGCTCTGAGACTCCTTCGGGTAGTGAAGGGCGGGGTATAAATCCAATCTCCTCTCCTCCTCCTCCTCCAACTTGATGGCACTTTCCACCCCCACCCCCTTAAAAAAATTATTGGAGGAAGAGAGCCAAGGGGCAGCCAAGGGAAGAGCCACTTTGGTGTAGTAGTTAGGAGAACTCTAATCTGGAAGGACCAGGTTTGATTCCCCACTCCTCCACATGCAGCTGCTGGGTGACCTTGGGCAAGCCACAGTTCTCTCAGAGCGGTCCTTGAAAAGGCAGTTTCTGTCAGAGCTCTCTCAGCCCCACCTGCCTCACAGGGTGTCTATTGTGGGGAGGGGAAGGGAAAGGAGTTTGTAAGCTGCTCTGAGACACCTTTGGGTAGTGAAGGGCGGGGTATAAATCCAATCTCCTCCTCCTCCTCCTCCTCTTCCTCCCCCTCTTTTAAAGCCATATGTGTCTGTGGCCATCCTTGCCTCCTCTGGCAGCAAATTCCACATCGTAATCATTCACTGAATAAAGATGCATTTCTTCTTTTTCTCTCCTGAATCTATTGAACCATCAACTTCATTGGATACCCCTGAGTTCTAGTGTTTTGGCAGAGATAGAAGAAATTTTCGCCCTCTCCCAAAATGCTAGAACTCAAAAGCATCCAGAGAAGCTCATGGTCAGTCACTAAAATGTGGAATTTTCTGCCAGAGGATGTAGCGATGACCACAGGCACAGATGGCTTTAAAAGAAGAGTAGAGAGATTTATAGAGGATAGTTCTATTAGTGGCTACTAGCCATGATGACTAAAGAGAACCTCCACATTCAGAGGCACTTAACCTCTGAATATCAGTGCCAGGAGGCAACATCAGGGGGAGGTATGAGCTTTCGTGAGTCACTGCTCACTTCTTTAGATGACTTGAAGGCTGACGACGAAGAAATTGAAATTCTTCAAGATTTTCTGTTCCTGGCCTCAGACATCAACCAAAAGGGAGACGGCAAACCAAGAAATCAGAAGTAGCTTTGAGACTGGGAAGGGCAGTCGTGAAGGAGCTAGAAAAAGGGGTCATTTCGTATAAAAAGAGGTGCAGGAGCTCATTAGCATAACGTATTAGCATAACTTATTTGCATATGCCACACCCCCTGACATCACCGAGTGTCAGAAGGCAACACCCACCGCTCAGGCTCCACTGGACTGGTTTGGATTGCTAGCTATGGGGGGGGGAAACGTGCAGATCTGCCCTCACAGAGGAGGGAGAGCTTGTACCTGAATAAAACTTGGTCTTAAAGGTGCCACTGGACTGTTTTGGATTGCTAGCTATGGGGGGGAACACGCAGATCTGCCCTCACAGAGGAGGGAGAGCTTGTGCCCGAAGGTGGGCCGGGGAGGGGCTCTGCAACTTACCTGGCTGCTTCTTGCTCTTCGTGGCCTGACTGAGGGCTGCTGGGAGCAGGGGGTGGGGCTTGTCACATGTGCCCGCCCCCTGGGCTCCTTACTGCCGGAGCTCCGCTCCTGTGCACTCCCACAGGAAATGACCCCTGGCTAGAAAAGACTCTGAAGTGTGATATTCAAGAATATCCCTCTTTTCCTCTGTGAAATATTAGAGGACCCTCCATGTTCAGCAGCAGTGTACCTTTCACTATCCAGTTGCTATGGTGGGAGAGGGGTTTGGACCGAGCCAATGTATCCTTGCAGAGGAGGTACAGCAAGAGAAAGGGGTGGGGGTGGGGGAGCTACGGATAGGGAGTCACAACAGCTGGCTGATAGGGAGGGGCCTGTAATAGGTCTAAGAAAGAGATCCGCACGGACGGTAGAATGCCGGTGGGTCCTTTTAATCGAGAATTCCATTTGATGCATTTTTAAAAGAAAGTACTTTGCTAGCCTTCATGATTAGTGAGTTAACTTTAAATAATGCAAAAGAAAGAAAAGGAGGGAGGGAGGGAGGGAGGGAGGGAGGAAGGAAGGAAGGAAGGAAGGAAGGAAGGAAGGAAGGAAGGAAGGTATGTTTTTTAGAGGCCGAAGAGCAACCTGCTTTACTGAAATCAGATTCCGGTGGGTAGCCGTGTTAGTCTGAAGCAGCAGAATAAAGTCTGAGTTTACCAGCACCTTTAAGACCAGCAAAGTTTAATTCTGGGCATAAGCTTTTGTGTGCAGGCACACTTCTTCAGATCCATTCAGGTGGGTAGCCGTGTTGGTCTGAAACAGCAGGACAAAATTTGAGTCCAGTGGCCCCTTGAAGACCAACAGAGTTTTATTCTGGGTAGAAGCCTTTATGTGCATGCATATGAAACCTTATACCCAGAATTAAACTTTGTTCGTCTTTACTGTAATCAGAAAGACGTGCCAGTTCCCCTAGAGGGCGCTAGACAGCCACTGGCGCCAGTTCTTGCCACTTTCTCAAGGGTGGTGAACAGAGTATTAGGCCAACTGCCTAGGGATTACTCTCAAGC